ACAACACGGAATGAATCTCAAAAACATAACTATAACTCTATGCTCTGGAGGGTTTTAAACTGGGGAATGGAATAGCATGGTACAACCTATACTGGTGAAAGACTGCCGAGGACACTGTGTAGACAGCTCAGTCTGTGGGTGAGAGTGGAAGTGGAGTCCTGGGAAGAGGCTCCTGCAGTCAGGATTCTATGGGAGATATGACGCGAGGGGGTGGGGGGTAGGCGGGGGGTGACCATGGGAGTGCAGAGGAGAGAGAACTCATATGTGGTCTGGAGGTAGAACTGATAGAACTTGCTGATGGACTGGGTATGAGTGGTAAAAACAGAGATATGACACCTAACCACAGGTTTTGACTTGGGTAATAGACCTATTTACTGAGATGGAGAAGGGTAGGAAGACACACTGACTTGGAGGGGTATGTTTAGGGCATGCTGGGGTAAGGCATCTGTGAGAATCCAACGGAAACGTCAAGTACCCAGCTGGGAAAGTGAATACTGAGGGTGAAAGTCAGGAAACAATTCCAATTCCAAAGACGGGATGAATTCTAGTTGAAAACAAAGGCCTTGGTCCCACACCACAGATCTTTTTCTCCATCGGGAAATTCCTTTAATTCATTATTTTTTGAGATGCAAGGATACCGTGGGGGAAGTCATTACAAAGCTGTCTATCAACTCAATACATAGCCTAGGCCTGTCTCAATAGGAAGGGGTTTAGTGGAAGGAAAAAAGAACATGGCAGGCAAATTTTCTCCGTCCTGCCTGTTTCCAGAAATCTGTAACCCTAGCCTTCCCTTGAGTCCCCTTCTACTTTGATGCATCTCATCAAACATGTATTGAAGATCTGCTGTGTGCCAGACACTGTACTAGGTTCTGGGGCTACCACAGAGAATAAAGTCATTCTGACTTTATCGCTAAGAGTGGCATGCAATTATGTAATGACTATTTGAAAGGTCAGTCATGAGCGCAGAAATATCAAGCAAAGGGCTAGATAATTTAAGAGGTATTTGTACAACGATAACATTTCAGGTGAAGAACAATTTCTGCATAACAACCACCACTCCCTTGAACCACCTGGGGCAAGCTAGTCACCAAGGCTTCTTTTCAGACCTAGAAAACTAAAACCATAAGAGTCTGATGTAGCTATTGGGATGTCAAGATTGGGATAGCAGGTCAGTCCCAGGCAGGAGAGGCCCTGAAGGGTACTTTCCTGGTGCCTTTCTTGACATCCAGTTTCAATATTCCCCAAAGTAATTTCTCCTACTTTTCTGAGTTTCAGATTGTGCCAAGTAAAATTCTAGCTGTTCTCCCCTAACTGAGAATACCTGGATATATATTTACTAAAATGACTTGCTTTGGTTCTTAAAGTGTATTCTAAATCATGTTTATATTTCTTTTGCTTGACCTTGTACCTTGGTCGGCATGTTTCTTTGGCCAAGAAGGCCAGACGAAGGGATAATATTTCTATTATTGTCTTATTAAGGCCTTGAAAAAATAATTCTTATTACCTTGTGATAATTTTGAAGAGCATTATTTATTCCCTTTCCTATACACTTTTTTTTTTAAAGGAGTTTAAAAATAGCACTGGCCTGGTAGGTCAGTCAGCTAAAACACTGTCCCAATATGCCACCGTTGTGGCTTTAATCCCCGGTCAGGGCACATACAAGAAAATAAGTGGGACACCAAATCATTGTTTTTTTCTCTCTCTCCCTTCATCTCTCTCTCTCTCTCTCTCTCTCTCTCTCTCTCTCTCTCTTGAATTATAAGCTGAATTGTAAAACATAAGAATCTAACTGGCACTTGAATCAAATATTAATGTTGTATGTATATTCATTTTCATGTATGTAACATATTTTCTGGGAAAGAAGACAGGAGGGCATTAAGATACTTGTGACCTTGTCTAGCCCTTGTAAACAGAGGAGCTCTGTTGCCCCTACCTGTGTAATGACTGGGCTTAACAACCGGCCTTAGATAAGGAAGCTTTATAGCCTTTTCTTCCCAGCTCTGCTTCATCCTTTGTTCTACTCTGTAACTGGACTCCATTGTTCCCAGAGTCACTGACTGATAACATTGTCTAGACTTGTTTTCCTTTTTTTGAGAAAGTTACCCCAACATTCTTTCCCCTATACTAATTTCTCAAAGTGGACCTAAGAAAGAGGAGAAATCAAAGAGGAAAGAAGAGAGACCACTGTTCTGTTAATATTTTACTCAGTTTTTATAATTTAAAATGACAATTATATTTTCCCATTTTACACATCCATTCATCTTTTCTTTCTTGAGAAAGACTGACAGCATATATTTCTATCATTTTTATTGGCTTTAAAAAGCTGCTGATATCGTTGGCACACTGGGTTACCAGCGTAATGATCTCTTACTAGAGCGTGTAGAGAGACATTTTCACAACATGTGGCTTCGAGGAAATAAACATTTGCCACAGTTCCTCGGGCTTACTGGACAAGCAGCCCCTAATCCAATGAATTAGGGGATTCATTGAAAGTGGTGAAGTTCTGGCCAAACTGTCAGGCAAGTGAGTCAGAAGTAAAAATTATCATTAAGATTGTAGAGACCTTTCAGAATTAACATTTCTAAATGACTTGTTTTGGGATTTGGAGTAATTATAGAAGTGCTAATTTCCGCAGGAAAAAAAAATGATGTATTATATGACAGGGAAAATGTGGCTTACTGGAGCTCATATAAGCAAAATTTAGGGACTTTAGCTGACAGTAATATTAATATGACTCAAATCACATGTATATTACAATCTCAAACGTATCTTAATCTTTAATAATAGATTTTCAATATCATCCACGGACAAGGCAATAACTATTCTACAGTCTGCTGGGATCACACCACATGTAGAATATTCTGTTTAGTTCAGGCCACCTCAATCGAGATGGATTTCCCTGAGGCACACTGAAATGTGTACAGGAGATTGCGTATGACAGTGAGGGACAGTGGGAGGAAGTGGTGATGACATGCCTTGAGGAAAAAAAACACCAAGAAGAAATATGAGAACTGTTTTTAAATATTGAAAGCATTGTCACATAGAAGAGGCAGATTTGTTCTAAATAGTGCCAGATATATCAAGAGCCCGGATCAATGAGTGGAAGCTGCAGAATACTCAATAAAGAAGAATTTTTAAAGTCTGAGCTATTCATAGTGGAACAGGCAGTTTGGAAACTGGGGAATTCCTATCATTTGGGGCGTTAGGAAAAGAAACTCCTAAGCAGAGGGTTCTATGGAGGTAATTCCAGCACTAGATGGCTGTTGTTCAGATTGTGACTTTTAAGGAAAACCTTTTGACATGAAATTCTACGACATTATGAAATCACAAGCCATTTGACTCCCACAGTCCCTGCACATACACCAACGTGTTTAAGGGAAGATGGATAAAATGAGAATTAAAATTTTCTTATTAATTTCAAATTCCCAAACTGAGATACATCTGAAGGAAATGATTGTCATTTCTAGTTAAACCGCTAGATCAAGAATCTTCAAATGAAGAGATGCAAAATTTCTCCTTTTCTGAAATTATTTGGTTAGTTATCTACATGGATAAGGCAAATTATATAGTCCATTCAAACGTGGCTTCTCATCAGTGAGGCTATTTTGGGATAGTATATTAAAAACTAGTAAATTTTTAGGTCTGTGATTGTCATATTATATTTCATAATAATTTCATTAGAAAAACTTACTTTTGATACCATGGGCTGCCTGTGTACAGATCTACGTGAGAATATCATTTTTCTTGTTTCTCCTGCCTGCCAGAAATTACTCTGAAAATGTGGCATTAGAAGGCATTGAAATATAATATGACAGGAAAGCATATTACTAAAGATGATACAAATATTACCTATTTGGGGACATAAACATATAGCTGATGTTTTAGAGGAAAAGAAAGAAAAATGAATAAACCCTTTAATATTTATCCAAACAACATTTACAAACAATGAGACATGTCTTTCAAAGTCCTTAATGACCACCAAGAATTAGTCCTCTGGGTGTACGGTCCCCACCACAGACTAATGCTGGGCAGCCATTGTACACCAAATAGTTAAAGTGACTTTGGATCAGGTAGATTTTTCCACTATTTACATTTCCAATTAAATTTGCACAAATCAAAGAAGGTACAATAATTAAAATGAGGAAGTTACCTAAAGGCAGAGAAAGACTAGCAACACCAAGACTGATTCAAGAGAATAATACTACATGCAAGATGGCAAATGGAGGGAGCAATAAATGGAATGTAGTTTTGGAAAGTCAAACGGTGCAAGAAAGAAACCTAAACATAACATACATTATATAAGTAAATGTTTAATTATTACAGCAAAACTCCATGACTTGCCATCTTTATAATATTCATGGTAAAAATGCTAGTTTCCCAGAGCCTTTTAAAGATGTCAGTAAGTAATATAATCTATACATTTTGGCCTGGTCAAATATTGATTTTTAAATAAGACAGAAGACAAATTGTTTCTTTTAAGCACATGAAGTATAACTATAATCATTTATATTTTTATTTCTTTCATGAAATCAATATTGAAAATTTATATTTTGAAAGTAATTTTGTTCAGGTTGAGTTTTCATTATTAGTCCAAGATCAAAAGGTGCTTTTGCTAAAAAGTGAAAATAAAGAGACTTTCTCTGGCTTATTTAAAAATATTTTAGCTATAAGTTTTAATCAGTTTTCCCTTTCGAGATTTTCAGATGTAAGCAATAAAAACATCAATTTCCTGCTTAATAGAAACAAATAGAAAGAGACGAATCCAGATAATTAGCGAGACTTGCATTTTTAAGCTGGAAAATGGGTTCAAGAACTGATTCAGATAGATTAAAAGAAGACAATCAGTAACATCATATATGCGCTATTTAAATGACACATAAATTAATAATCTCAAGATAAAATGAAAAGTTAGTAACTCAAGGAAGTGTTACATTTCAAAGATAAGAAATGGAAGATAAAGATGGTAGTTAAGTGTCATCACAATAAAAAATTGCAAATACCTTCTTCAACATCTGAGATATATTCGCCATCACTGAGCATTTCAGGGGCGTTGGCTTTACGAACTGCATGATTAAGTGAACAATGTAAGTGGGTGGAAAACGTAACCTGTTGATGCTACAACAACATATTCTAATGTTTCTGAAAACATTTTTGCAATGAACTTTCTTCAGGAAACAAATACACAGTCACTTAATTATTATGAACTCAAAGGAGGTTCTCATACCTTCGTCATCAGACATATCAAGAACTTCATTCATTGTTTCTGGAACATTCATTTTGTGCTTCTCTGTGACAGTCTGGTAACAACAACAACAACAAAAAAGCAGTGACTTCAGAGTGAGGACAGTGCATGTTTTAACGAGACTCTTTCTTTCTTTCTAAATTAGTTGGCTTATTATTAGTTGGCGTATGTGTTGCTTATCCTAAAGCCGCCACGTATAAAATGACATCACGATGTGGTCCTGACCATATACACAGCTGAGAGCAAACACAAGGTGAAACAACTTTAGGGACAAAGTACACCAGCTTAAAAGCTTGAAATCCCTAGTAAGGCTTTTCAAAGGAAGAGGAGAGAGAGAGATCGCCTGTACTTTTTCCTGGTCTGATGAATCTGCTGCCTCATCCTACTAAATGTCTTGGCTGAAGATAAACCAAATGAATGGCAAGAAATATGTGTCTTCACTACTTATCAAGCCAGCCATTTATTTTGTCTTCCCTGTGTCATCTTAATTTCTAGAATAAATCAATATTAAGATTGTATAAATTACATAATGTAATGACATATATATGAAAAAATATTTTAGAGGTAATGCATTTCCAAGATCATTTTAATCTTTACAAAAATATCAGAGAACGGTATAGTGTAGGCAAAAGCCCTGCTGAATCTCTTACTTGCTCTGATAACTTTTGACCTATAGAGACTGTATCCATTCAAATACACGGACAGCATTACTTGTTAGAAAATCTCAATGACTTAATGTTTTAGTTTCAAAGAGTCCTCTTTTAACTCTGAGCACATTAAAGACTGTGGAACAAAGGAAGGTACACATTTAGATAAGGCAATTGAAATAAAAACTATACCGTTAAACTCAGAAAGGGTAAAATCCCACAGCTTCTTATAGTTCTTACCAATTCTTGGTAAATGTGACTGCACACCCTGTCCTCAATTATCATGTTCAAATACAGCACTATCTGTGTTGTATTTGAAAAGATTGAACATAAGCATTCACTAATTAAGAAACACTATCTGTGTTGTGTTGAAAAGATTGAACATCAGCATTCACTAATTTAAAAAAAGGAAAACAGATCTGAGTGATAGATGTATTCTGCTCATTACTACTCAGGGAACTGAGTATTTTCAACAACACAATTGAAACACCTTCATTCGTATCTCTTCCAGCATGTAACACTGAACTTAAACATTTTTATAAATAAGGTTTTTATTTTGGAACAGTTTTAGATTTACAGAAATATTGTAAAGATAGTATAGAGTTCACCAAGTTTCCCCTATTATTAACACATTACATTATTACAATGAATGGTACATTTACTACAATTAATGAACCAATATGAAGACACTATTATTAATTAAAGTCTATATTCAGATTTTTTAAAATTTCCACCTCATTCTGTTTTAGGATCCCATTCAGGATACCACATTATCTTTGGTTGTCATTTCTCCTCGTGGCTGTGACTTTCTCAGACTTTCCTTGTTACTAATGATTTTGACAGTTTTGAGGCCAACTGATCAGGTGTTTTGTGGAATGTCTCTTTACTGGAATTTGTCTCATGTTTTCCTCATGATTGGACTGAGGTCATATGGTTTGGAGAGGAAGACCACAGAGGTCGAGTGCCATTTCTATCACATACCATCAACATGACTTGGTGGTGTTGACGTTAGCCTTCCTCACCTGGCTGACGCAGTGTGTGCCTGGCATCTCCATGCAAAGTCACTCTATTCCCTCTGTCCCTTCCACGCTGTTTGCTTTGGAAGGAAGTCACCATGCTCAACCCAGGCTTCAGCAGCGGGGAATTACTAGTGTATCTATCCCGTCAGCGTGTGTAGGCTCAAAAACTAGAGTTCTTTTGCCTGAGAAATGTGTCTCTTCTTCCCTACTTATCCAGTCACTTACTTACCAGAATGGACTCAGGGCTATTTATTTGATACTTTGCACTAAACCCCAGTACTGCTTTTTTACATTTTTGCTCAAACTGTTGCAGCTTTCAGCACTGGGGACTCTTTCCATTGATTCCTGTGTCCCTTTGACATGTCCCCATCATTTTTGTGTGTGTACTTATTTACTTGTTTATTTGGGGTGGAGGAGGGGGATATCTTATTATTATTATTTTTTGGCACTACCAGATGTTCCCAGCTCATTTATATATTTCCTACCCTAGTTCTAGCTGGATCCAGCCATTTCTCCGAGGAGCCCTGGTTCCCTTTATAAGAGAATGGAATTCAAATCATAGATCTGGCTTGCTGGTGTGGCTCAGTGGTTGAACATCCACCTATGAACCAAGAGGTCACAATTCGATTCCAGGTCAGGGCACATGCCCCGGTTGCAGGCTCGATCCCCAGTATGGGGTGTGAAGGAGGCATCTGATCAATGATTCTCACTCATCATTGATGTTTCCATCTCTCTCTCTCTCCCTCTCCCTTCCTCTCGGAAATCAATAAAAATATATTTAAAAAGAAAAGATTGAACATAAGCATTCACTAATTTTTATTTTAAAAAAGGAAACAGATCTGAGTGATAGATGTATTCTGCTCATTACTACTCAGGGAACTGAGTATTTTCAACAACACAACTTAAACACCTTCATTCCTATCTCTGCATACCAGCTTTCATATAGTCAGTTTCCCTCGCTGCACCTTTCTCAGAATTGCCACATCTTACACAGTGCTATGGAAGGCAGCTTTCTTTGAAAAAGGCATTTTTAAAAACTAAAGTCTGCTTCTGGAACAGTGGGGCCCAGTAACTGGCTGTGCAAAGGTCTACCTCTGGTGGAGACAGTGCTGTGTTTAGGGAGTTTAAGGTCAGACTCCACCCTGAATGGCGTCAATCCTCCTGTACACTGGATCTGGATCACATGTAACTGCCGTAGCAGGGCTGACAGGGTGGTGTCTCAGCTTGAAATACAGTCTCACATACCAGAGCTGGGCTGAGTCTTAGGGACTGGGATGGCGTCTTTTCTAATCAGTGTGAGAACCCCATTTAGTCAAAGCCTCATTTCTCCCATTAGGCCAACTGAATCTTTCCTGTGAGCATGCGTCCTGTCTTCTCTCTGAGGCAGAAACCAACTAGGCTGATGAGGGAGTGTGAAATGGCTTTGGCCCCAAATGCGGGGTGTCCTTCATTAGGAATCTGAGCCTTGATAGCCATCTTTCAGAAGATTTCCTGAGCCTGTAACCTGATTTTCTCTGCCTGTAACTTTATTTTCTCCTATAGCTTTTCTGGTATCAAGGCAGCACGTGGAACTTTCTGAATGCGTGACAAAGTCATTTACATTCAATCAAATTAGATTGGATTTTGAACTGTTCTAGGAGTTTCCATTCTCTAACATTGAAGTAGAAGTCTTATATATAGGGTGTTCCAGAAAAACGTATACACACACTTTGAATAAGTACAAAGTCAGTGTTCATTAAAATACATTTCATTTTCAAAGTTGAGCTATTAGCTGTTACAGCGTCTATACATTTTTTGAGACACCCTGACTTTGCTGCAGTGACTTCACATCTAGCATGGTGACAACTGGCCATTGTTTACTACCTTGTCCTCCCTCTCATTCCCCACCCTAGAAAGAGCTACGTGAGATGTCTATAAAGTTAAGGATATTAACATTATTTGTTTAAATTCTTTTCTTGAGAATTTAATAATAGATAATCAGATAACAAAACACTCAAGAGATATGTGAAAGCAACATATGGGAATCTGGAAGAAGATAAAGGTGGGGGGGGATAAATGGATATGGAAGGAGACCTGACTTGAGGTGGTGAATAGACAATACAATATACAGATGATGTACTGTAGAACTGTACATCTGAAACCTATATAATTTTATTAACAATGCCACACCAATAAACTCAGTAAAGGAAGAAAGAAATGGGCCCTGGTTGATAACCATCCTGCTACTCCATTAAAGCTATTCTTTTTCACCCATTATCAAACTTCTCTCTTGTAATTAGCAGGCTTATTATTTAGTTTCTAAAGTATGTAGATAGTCAAATAACCAAATTTACTGACTGCTAAAGAGCACCTCAACCAATGTGTGTGTATGTTTTTTTAAAAACTGATTTGAGAGAGAGAGAGGAAGAGAGAGAGCAAGCAAGAAATCTTGGGAAAAATCCATGTGAGAGAGAAACATCTATTGGTTGCCTCCTGTACACCTCCTACTGGGGATCAAGCCAGCAACTTGGACACGTGCCCTGACCAGGAATTGAACTGGCAACCCTTTTGTTACACAGGATGACAGCCAGCCAACAGAGCCACACTGGCCAGAACAACTTCTGTGTTTTCTATGAAGCCCTGTGTATACAAACTGTCTGCAGATGCGAACTGTGCCTTCTTTCAGGACGGAAGGTGATAGATGAGAAAAGGAGGCAGAGATAGAAGGTCCAAGTATTCCAGAGCCTTAAATTTACCACATACAGAGTCAATGCCAGGCCTTGTGTTGAGTCATGTGGTCAGGAATTATTCAAATAAGCCTCTGATAGGGTGCAATATCTGCTCTTGATTCCAAAGCTACCAAATCCTGCTGCAGTTTGTAAAGAAATATCTGCTGCATTAAGACCTCCTAGTAAAGATTCACTTAAAATTTTAATAAAGTGCTACTGTTTTCCCTATGAAAATCCAATAGGTGAACAGAAGACAAGTGAAAGTGGTGGTAAAAATCAATTTGAGTATATCTCTAATGTTTCATGTTATATCAATCTCATTTTTATAATAATGCTAACAATGTACCTATTAATCATTTGTGAGTTTAAAAATTGTCAAAGAACCAACTCAGAATGCTCCATTTTCTTAAATTGCCAAAGAAGAATGCTAAAACATTTCTGCCTACATCTCATTCAAACTTTTAAAAAATAGCCAAATGAATAAATGCATTTAGCTTTATATGGAATGACAAACTCTATAGCTCCGAATGCAACTTTTAAAGTGTATTTTTAGCGTTTTCAAGTTTTCTTAATATCAGAGATGAGCGTTTTGCTATGCGTACGTGCCAACAATGAGGTGACAACCTCTGGAAACATGGCGCTTAGCCTACGAACAGAGGAAAGAGGCTTCATCTCTGCAAAGCCCAGGAACGATCTACTGTCTGAGAAACGTCTTAAAGATCTACTGTCTTCAGGTAGCCAGGCCCGGCGTCCACCACTCACCGTTGTGGTAATGGTCTCCTCAGTCACGACCTTCAGCGTGTCCACCACTGAGATGTAGCCAAGCCTGCGGGCAATGGCGAGGGCAGTGTTCCCATTCTGGCAAGAGGGAAACGGGAACAAGGAATTAGCCAGGAATTCCACGGGTCTCAGTGCCTGTATGTGTGCACCTGTCTCACCCGTACAAATCCTAAGACCAGTGTCTCCACAGCCCATTCCATTGCCACGTCCAAAACAGTTTCATCAGACATACTTTGCGGGAAACCCACCTAACCTGTTCCTACGCTTACAGCAGAGTCTGAGCTGCTACCGACTGAATCCAAGAGGTTCTTAATGTCCTAACGAATCAAGGAAACAAACGCGCATTTCTTCTTCTTATGTACTTCCCACTAGGGAGCAAGGTAATCAGCAGTTTTTGAGTGTGAAACACTAATCATGACTCTCCCTCTGGACAGCTCACAACAACATAATTACTAGTATTGTCCTTCCCACTTCATTCTGCTGAATGCTTGCTCATGCCTATGCATGAAAGGGAAAAAACAAAAACTGTGGTGCACAGTGAAAAAGGTGAGAAGACCCTAGTGCCCGGGCCCATCTGCCTTTCCCCAGCTGGCCCTCGGCTCTTACCACAGTGAGTTCATTGGGGGAGGCATTGTTCTGGAGCAAGACGTTGATTATATGTGTATGTCCTTGTTGAGCGGCTTGATGCAATGGCGTATACCCATTCTGTAGAAGGAAGGTGGAAGAAATGACTCATTTCCTCAGACACAATCAATGATTTCGGTGGATACAAAGGAGAACGGAGTTTACCTTTGTTTTGGCATTAACTTTTGCAGAATGCTGGAGCAGGAAATTAACAATCTTGTTGTTTCCATAGTGGCAACCCACGTGGAGTGGGGTGTATCCCATCTGTAATTACATATTTTTAAAAAGAAACATCGTAAGTACACTTTTAGTAGCAGTCATCCCAATTAGAAGCAAAGTTGTTATTTGACCTTTCTTTTTGAGCTGACAAAAATAGTTTTTCCCTATAAAAAACAACACCACCAAAAATAAACCCAAAACACCCTTGATAATCCTCAGAGCTAGTCTTCGGTGTAAACAATAATGCCATCTCACATGAAAATAGTTACCCATATCACTTCCCAAAGTGCTCTCTTGCATTAGCTAGTTCTATTCTCAACGACGTTTCAAGACTGAACGGAGAGATGAAGTGACAGACAGCCTGGACAGGCTGATTCCGTGGCTCCTTGGGGAGGGGCCAGAAGACTTCTATGGAAAGATTTTGACTAGAATTTATTGAGAGTGTAATAAATAAAAACTCTAATCTCTGCGAGTGTAAAATCAAGGTTACAAAACGAAGGGGCTAACTGATAATACGAGTCAGTAGGTGATTACCAGGATGCATGACAGAGACAGAAGGAAGCAGAGCCGTACTAAGCTGAAGAGGCTGCTGTGAGTGACTCAGGTCTGAGAAATCTGAACTGGCCCAGGTACACATGCTCCAGTTACGGTGTCCCGCCTGGCCAAGCACAGTACAGTGTGAAGACCACTGATTTAGACAAAGTGCTGGATTGTTTCTTAGATGAATATCAATGGATGCCTGAGGGGTTATAAATTCTATCAATTTAAAAATACATAGTGTGTGTGTGTGTGTGTATGTGTATTCTATACAATGATTTTTATTTTGTTATTTATTTTATTGATTTTTGAGGAGAGAGAGAGAGAGAGAGACAGAGAGAGAGAGAGAGAAACGTCGATCGGCTACCTCCTGCATGCCGCCTACCAGGGGACTGAGCCTGCAATCTGGGCATGTGTCCTGACCCGGAATCAAACCGGCGAACTTTCGGTGCACTGGACAACACCCAACCAACTGAGGCAGGGTGACAATGACTTTTTTTAAAAATAAGGATACTCCAGATATTTTGGACACTTTGTAACAGACACCACCACACAGCTACGAGGCAGAGAGATGTTTCCCAAAGTGCATCACTTGTAAAGGGCAGAAAAGATATGTACTTCAAAAATATTATAATGAGTGCAAAAATGATTACCGACTGTGACCTGAGGTGGTGGTGGGGGGGGGAGTTAGGAGCAAACCCCGTAGAGACTAAGATTCAACCTGAGGGGTCATGGGTGCAAACTGAGACCAGAAGGTGCATGTACCCTTTCCTCTCCTCCAACCTGCCCTTGAGAATCACTGCCGTGCCCCCTCACTGAGTACTGGATGTTTTGAGGCAAAATATATTGAGAATCTTAACCCTGTCCATCCCTTCTAGAAGTTTTCATCTAAAAACAGAGAGGTAGCCAAAGAAGTGTTTAAGTCTGTGTGTGCACATGTGTGTAAATGAACACAGGGTGAATACATTTACCATGAGATTGCAAATTCCTAGAGATTTATTTATTTTTTAATATATTTTTATTGATTTCAGAGAGAAAGGGAGCGGGAAAGAGAGACAGAAACATGAATGATAAGAGAGAATCATTGATCAGCTGCCTCCTGCAAGCCCACCACTGGAGATCGAGCCTGCAACCCGGGCATGTGGCCTTGACCGGAATTGAACCCAGGACCCTTCAGTTCGCAAGCCGATCAATGCTCTAGCCACTGAGCCAAACCTGCTAGGGCTAGGGATTTCTTTTAACAAAGCAATTCAAGTAAAATAATGAATATACACTAAATCCCATTAAAAATGCTTTTATTTTCAAAATGTAAAAAAGTAACGAGAAACCATTCAGCCACTACCAGTGGTTTCTCTGTACAATGCCAAGCCACCTAGGAAGGCATTCAAGGTTAAGGACAATGAGATTGTTTAGAGTTGAACAGTTTGGGGGGGAAGAGTGAAGGGAGAGCTGGGAACTCAGCCACCAAATGGGGTCAAGGAGTCTCCAGGGCACAAGGAGTTTGAGAGAGGGAAGTGGGGAGGAGCTGGCCTGCTTGGACACTCTGCCTAGGGCTACCTCCCCCCTCCTATTTTAACACAGTTTAGAAAGCTTACAGGATCTTGCCTGGTCCTGTCACTCTCGGGCAGCTTCTTTTTAATAGAACACAGTATGTGTGGATGAGCCACCACCATAGAGCCAGAGCCATGCCTAAAGTTGGCTTTATCTGAGCAGCCCCATAAATCCAGTCTAGATTTGATGTCTGCACACCTTTTTACCTGGCTAATCCCTGGTGACACTCCTCTACTATCAACATCTTCACTATCTGTCCATACACCTCAGCATCTGTCTATATGACACACAAAAATCTCTGCATTCATAACAATACTTAATAAGCATTCATTTTTATGTAAAAAATGTGACACATAGAAGAGTTCTATTTTAGAGTCGATAAAACAAGTTTGATATGAAGCGGTAACAAAATTAAGCACGAAAGAAAATGTTCAGGGAAATGAGGTGACTATGAAGTCATATCTTTGATGATGACACTAAACATCCATTTTCTTATCTGAGCTTAAAATTGTGGCATTATGTGAGATTCATCTATCTATCTACCTATCTACCTATCTATCTATCTATCTCTTAGAAGAGCTATTTTGGCAGAGAGAGAGAGAGAGAGAGAGAGAGAGAGAGAGAGAGAGAGAGAGACCGACCAGCAACCATACACATCATAATGAATTTAGCAAGTAGTAATAGCTGAATAAAATTGAATTTATCCTTTTTCATAGACTAGGCCTGCACGAAGTTAGAGATCACAAATTACTGAAATTCTTAATATGCTTTTTTTACATCAGTTACAAAAACTAAGAAATGTACCAGCTTTCACACTTTGCCCTTGGAGGGTGGATCTGCTGTGACAAGGACCAAGAGCGCTAACACAGGAAGGTACTGATATGCCGCTAGGACAAAATACCTGGGCCATTCAAGATAAAGGCATCTGGGTACCAGAATCGGAGGCTTTAGGGTCCCTTGAACAGGTGCACATGGGAAATATTATGTATACAAGATACGATGGAGGAATTTGCTTTCCCCCTAAAGAACTGTACTTGCATCCATATAGCAGCCACTAGGAGACACACCGTGTGGGCACATTCTTTCTGCCTACCTTGGTCTGGGCATCCACGTGTGCCCCTTGGTTGACGAGGACCTCGGCCACATTCACTCTGTCTTCTTGAGCAGCCAGATGGAGTGGGGTCAGGCCACTCTGCAAAAACGTCCAAGGACACAGGCATGTTTGCGAAGCATTTCATAAATTCCAGGGGAGAAAGCCTAGAATTTCTAGGTTAAAAAACTCTGGAGAGTAAGTTTTACACGAGCCCTGGGGCAACATTGTTATCTACAGGCTCAATGAAAAATTTCAAACACTCTGAAGCGGAGGGAACCGACAGACTCTGCACTCATCACGGAGTCAGCAAGTAGCAAGGCTTTCTTACACTTGGTTCATTCAGCCTTAATTCCTTTTCTCCCCTTTGCATAGTATTTTAAAGCAATTCACAGACATTATGCCATTTCTTCTACATACTACAGTGTTCACCTTAAAGCAGTGATGGTGAACCTTTTGAGCTCGGCGTGTCAGCATTTTGAAAAACCCTAACTTAACTCTGGTGCCGTGTCACATATAGACATTTTTTGATATTTGCAACCATAGTAAAACAAAGACTTATATTTTTGATATTTATTTTATATATTTAAATGCCATTTAACAAAGAAAAATCAACCAAAAAAATGAGTTCGCATGTCACCTCTGACACACATGTTATAGGTTCGCCATCACTACCTTAAAGACTCCCCCCCAAAAAAAAATTATGCAATTATTAAAAAATATATATTTTATTGAATGTTTACAGAGAGGAAGGGAGAGAGACAGAGAGTTAGAAACATCGATGTGAGAGAAACATCGATCAGCTGCCTCCTGCACACTCCTCACTGGGGATGTGCCTGCAACCAAGATACATGCCCTTGACCAGAATCAAACCTGGGACCCTTGAGTCCACAGGCCGATGCTCTATCCACTGAGCCAAACCAGTCAGGGCAAAATTATGGTACTAGCTTTAGCAAAAAAAAGATTGAAATAAAAATCACTTATAAATTGAATATTGATATATGATAATATTTCCCCCATTAAATATTAATACTCAAAATTGACAAATACTTCCTGTATGTTGTTTCTGGGTAAGAAGGATGGCCTGTGAAATGGAATATAAATGCTGTATCATGAGAATTTCCAGGTCATTTAGATGGTGTATGGGTTTAATGAGACTAAATATTTGAAACGGACTGTACCGCAGAATATGCAAACTACATGGTTGTTCTGATGGAAAAATAATTACTAGGACTATGCCCTGGCTTAGAAATCTTCGGTGTTGTGAAGAATTTTTCTCAGAAATAATAAGAGAAAGTAAGTAGGGATAGATGCTTCTAGATTATTTCCTTTCCTCCATTATGAGCACAGAAGTGAATATTGCAGGCCTTTGTCCTCCCACTTTGCCTATGAACAGTGAGAACACCAGCCTGTTCTATTTTCCAGAGAAAAGTACTGGGCCAAAAGCAGTGTCAGAAAGGGTTCAGCCCCCTTCCCATCTCACGGCACACATAAACAGAGCAGTGGTTATTCCGAAAAGTGATTTTCAACCTTTTCCATCTCATGGCAGACATAACCTCATTGCTAAAACTCTGCGGCACATCAAACAATGTATTACATTTTTTGCTGATCTGACCAAAAAGGGTATAATTTTCATTCATTCACACTGATGGCTATTGTTGTGTTGGCTGTTGCCATTTTTTTATTTGACAACCTAAGGGAAAAGAGGTCAGCGCCCCGGACTGCATAGTCGGGTGTTACATGTCTTAAAAATTCCTGCGGCACACCGGTTGAAAATCGCTGGTCTAGATTCTGCACGTTATTTATTTAGGGGTTGCTATTCTGTCAAACCAAGGACTCCGGGAGGGTAATCCGCATGACTTTTTGATTTTCCCCCTGCTTGACTTTTCAATAATGTCTATAGAATTTTGGAGGAGGCTCACTCAGACTGAATAAAGGGGACATATGAAACCGAGGACTGATGCATTCACTTGAACTCCCAAGAAAAATAAGCCAGGGCCCCAATGGCACCGCCCAAGATTGACATGGTCATAGAACAATGTTCCATGTTCTGCTCTAGAGGAAACAAGTATTGTCAGCTGTAACATTTTGTGAAAGTGTCATGGACACCTATTCTAAGTCTGAGGCTTTTGGAAATTCGGAAGACACTTCACTGGGGTTACCAGCACACTTGGGGACATGGCCCACTCTCTCGTGTTGCCCTATTTCCTGCCCGCTGTGGGTGACCATCTACCTATGACAGAGTCATTTTCAACTTCCTCAGGCTTCCTTCTCCCCATCTCACAAAGGCCTCATTGTTACCTTTATGTGCACACCTGCTCTCTAAAGATCATCATAATCCTGCATTTCAACTCTGTCTTTTTTCTTGTCTGTCTTCCTCAAACCACTGGGAGCTTGTTGAGGCAGATACTGTACGTGTAATCTCTATATAACCAGCATTGAGCATTGGTTTTTTAATCCACCTACTAATTGATGGAATCAGAGGACAAAAGCAAACATCCTTTAGGTAAAACAGAATATATTCAATAAAGAAAATTTTATTTTTATAGCCATGATTTTGGTAAAAAAAGATTAAAAAAAAAATAATGTGATCGTTAAAATAGCCTCAGTTAAGCTCGGAAGTGACTTGTTAATCTCTTATGGGGTTTTGACCATTGCTCATTTAAAAAATGGTATTTATTGGGGAAAGAGAAAACACCCCCAAGTCAGAATAACCACAGCTCTGTTTAATACTCTATTTGCTTTATAAAGAAATAGAGCTACTTGTGGTCTATAAAATCCATGCGGGAAAATAGCAACATCGAAATAAAAATCAAAGCAGATCAGACACTAGCACTTTAGCAGTAACTCAAGTTCACGGTCTTCCTTAAAACTGCTGGGAACTACTGGTTACTAGTAAGAAAAGGGGTAAAACAGTGTTTCGTGCACGAGAAATTTTTAAGAAAGCGATTTTTTTTTGGTTAATATTTACTTTTTACAAGGAAATAAAGTCTGGTGTTAAACGGGAAGGTGGATGGGCAGGTGGGAGGAATGGAGGGACAGTGACTGATGTTTACAATCCTGGCAGCTCAGGAAAAACTGGCAGAAAACTGTCCGAGTTCCTCCTGGATGATCATGTTCTGCTAATGGTCTGCTTTCACACCAGGGCTTATTTAAAACAGAAAACAACAAGCGAGAAGGGAAGCAAAGATTTACACATGCCATGGTCCAGTGATGGCGAACCTATGACACGCCTGTCAGAGGTGACATGCGAACTCATTTTTTTGGTTGATTTTTCTTTGTTAAATGGCATTTCAATATATAAAATAAATATCAAAAACATAAGTCTTTGTTTTACTATGGTTGCAAATATCAAAAAATTTCTAGATGTGACACAGCACCAGAGTTAAGCTAGGGTTTTTCAAAATGCTGACACGCCGAGCTCAAAAGGTTCGCCATCACTGCAGTTTCTTGGTTCTGTGAAGTTCTTGAAAGCTACTTAAGTACCATGTGCTAATGGGAAACCAGCTGATCTGCTCTTCAAACTGTCCTTGGAAGTATCGCTGCATATATTCAGGAGCGTGGCTGATGGTTTATCACCTATGCCTTTTGGTCTTTAGAATTGCCTTTCGATGCCCCGTCTACCAAAGCAAACACTGACAAATTCTTTCTAAAGTTTTATCCACCTAAAAATAACCCATGATTCTAAGGTGAATATCCACTTGACTGGAGTATTTGAAAGAAAAGAAAAAGCCAGTCAATCACACTATATTTTAATATCAAACCCACTGAAAATGTTAACCTGTTAACCAATTGTTCAGGTCTACTTTGAGAATGAATGAGATGCGATATTCTGGGCACACAAGAGAAAATACACTCTAGGCAGTGGTTCTTAACCTTCTGGCCCTTTAAATACAGTTCCTCAAGTTGTGACCCAACCATAAAATTATTCTCGTTGCTACGTCATAACTGTCATGTTGCTACTGTTGTGAATCATAATGTAAATATCTGATATGCAGGACAGCTTTAGGCGACCTCTTGTAAAAGGGTTGTTCGACTGCCAAAGGGGTCACGACCCACAGGTTGAGAACCACTAGAGTCTAGTGGATGCCAGTATGTGCTTCACTTTGTGAAGGCCAGGCTCTCTACCTCATGTAGACAAGTTGAATTTTGTAGCTAACTCTCAGCAGGCTGGTTTACATACTGGTAATGAACTTTAGACAATTCACAAGCTCAAACAAGTCCTGCTCAGAATAACTATTTGACATTGCTTTGTGAGTCCCATTAATGCTGAGACATGCATTCCTAAAAGGGATGTTTTAAAAGATATGAGAAAATCAAATTGATACACCAGAAAAAAGGGAAATGAAAAAGGTGTTTGCTCTGCAATGATCAAAAAGGATCTTCAAGATATTAAAGCTGTGAGACAGATTTCCCTGGTCTTTTGGTCTACAGAATTTGTTAAATTACAACCTCGGGGATTCAGATTAGTGCAGAGTAACTTTTTTTCAAAATTGTACAAAGTCCAAAATGAATACGATTACTCATTTCCACTGTGAAGGTGCTGAATGTTATCTAGTTAATTCTCATGACATCTCCGTGAAGTAAATATTATCTTTACTAGAGGATGAAACTGAGGCTGAGAGAGCTCACATAAATTGTCCAAATGACACATCTCCACTAAGAGTTCGATTTAGGATTTAAATCCTCCGTGATTCTGAAACACAGGCCACATATGTTAAAAATAAAGAACTTGTTATTTGTCACCATAAAACTATTCCTATGTTGAAACTCTACTCCAATATCTGAGCTACAGCTGAGAAATGCCACGGCTGTGCCATCACTAACTGGCTAAGGAAAAGCTAGCTGCTGGGGAGTTTCAATTATCAAGAATTTGGGGGCATTCTTGCAGGGGGTGTGCTGTTTGAAGACTTAGAAACATCCATTCTGTATTTTGGGCAGATCTCAGATGCAGGTATTCATTCATAGGTAGTCAGCAAATCCTAATTCTCTGATATATGCAACAATACTGCAATCAGTCTTTGCTCAATTGTGGGCTGGGACTTTCTTCACTAATAATAGGAATGTCAAATATGAGGACCGGAATTTGAAGAATGTTGGGAATAGTCTTTACAAGTTCCTCAGAACTGCTAACTTACATACGAAGACTAAATGTGTAAACTAACAACCTTTCCAATTTATCGAATAAGATAGTTACTTTAAATTTCTGTTATTAAAATGAACTCTTAGAGAGCAGAACGATTTCCAATTTCTTCTTGTAACCTAGGACTTAAACTGAGATAGGCAAGAAGTAGGTGCCCCAAACATGTCTGTGGAATGAATCAACAGGCTACTGTTTACAATTTCTCACTTGTTACAATTCTGGTGAAATAACAATGCTACCCTCTGAATGAACTTTATAACATAACTTCATGTTTTTAGATGAACTTTGTGGACTTCATTTTCATGACTATATGCTACTCAACTGTATGACTTTGCAATTATTGACCTACCATTCTCTTACTGTTTAAACAGATTGTTTCCAAGTTTTTGCCATGATAATTAATACTTTGATAAACATCTTCTTGTGACATTACACTTTATACTCCCTATCTGACCCAGATTTTTCGTGACTTCCTGATGGCCTTCTTGGGAGGTGAGGTTTTGTTGCATTGTCTACTTTGTGGAGAAGAAAAAAAGGTTACCTTATTACTCAGGTTCACGTTGGCATTTCGGCTAAGGAGCAGTGACACCATGTCCACGTGACCCTCCTGAGCTGCAAGATGGACAGAAGCAATTCCTTGCCGGGTAACTGCGTTTGCATCAGCACCATATTCCAGCAGAGTCGTCGCTATGTCCATCTGGTTCTTTTTGGCAGCGATGTGCAGTGGCGTATAACCATTCTGTCAACATGAACCACTTGGTCACATGCCCGGTAACGAGATAAAAACGTGCGCAGTACATTTTCAAAACAGTATGCCCCCCTTTCTATTGATTTTTTTAAATGGTTTTTTTTTTTATAAAAAATCTTGATTAAATAAGCAAAGAGTGATAAATCAGGCAGTGTCATTAATGTAGCGTCCTCATGTCTCCTACATCTAACAAGGGAAAGTATAATACTTCTAAACAGTTTAATGCAAGAGTCAGAGTACCATTGGTTTTACAAAAGGAAGATAGGGTTCCCCCTTACAGAGAGTTAAGTTAGTAGGTGCTCAATAATTACTTGCTTTATTTAAATTGGGGGTGAGAGGAAAACCTACTAGGAAACAACAAACAATATGGTCATGTTCAGATCCATTATTCCATCTTGAAAGCCCCTTTGATTGCTTACAGGTTGAAATTTTTAGTTTTCATGGTAGTCAATTGCTGTAATCTACCCCTATTTGATCGTCTCATTGCCTCTTTCACAGAACTCCAGTCTCTATGCTATGTTTCAGCTGCACCCTTCCCCACAACAACATACAGCTCATGTTTCTGTCTTGCCTGCTCTACCAAAAATACTTTCCCCAGCATGCCCTCTGGGCCAACATCTATCCACTAAAGATTTGGCTCAAGGGTCACACCCTCATGAAGTCTTTTACTTTGCCCCTGCTCCCTTCTACACCTGCTCCCCACTTGACTGACTCCAATCAAAGTCCTGGATATATTTAGTGGCTATCTTGGATATATAGTAATATTTATTATTATTTACATATGTGTCTCCTACTAAAATATAAATTTATTGAAGACATGTATTGTGTTATATTTGTCTTTGTATCTCTAGTATCTCACAATGACTGGAGAATCCTCAGAATTTGAGTCAATCTTACTAGAACTTTGAGAACATTCTCTGATCTTTCTCTTATCTGACCCTTAATGCTCAGAGGAACAGACAACCCACATTCCTTTGAAAAAAATTTTTTTTAAAATATATTTTATTGATTTTTTTACAGAGAGGAAGGGAGAGGGATAGAGAGCTAGAAACATCAATGAGGGAGAAACATCGAACAGCTGCCTCTTGCACACTCCCCACTGGGGATGTGCCCGCAACCACAGTACATGCCCTTGACCGGAATCGAACCTGGGACCCTTGAGTCCGCAGGCCAAAGCTCTATCCACTGAGCCAAACAGGTTATAGTGAAAATTTTTTTTTTAAAAATACGTCTTTATTGATTTCAGAGAGAGGAAGGGAGAAGGAGAGACAGATAGAAACATCAATGATGACAGAGAATCACTGATCAGCTGCCTCTTGCACACGCCCTACTGGGGATCGAGCCTGCAACCTGGCATGTGCCCTGACCAGAATCAAACCATGGCCTCCTGGTTCATGGGTCAATGCTCAACCACTGAACCATACTGGCTGGGCCTTTTGACAAATTAAGAGTTAGCTGTGCCTTAGGAACCTTCAGAATCCTCTGCCCTTAAGGGACCTTGTCTCGGCTCACAGTCATTTAACAGAAACGCAAGATTACATTTTGACATGAACATGAATCTGACTATATAAAATATGCCAATAAAAATTAGACTGATTTCTATAGACAAGAGGATTTAGAGAGAGAAAGAAAAAAACATCAGAATCTAAGGATTTATAATTGAGAACATGATCTAAACTCAGACAGTGGATCAGTCGCAAGCCACATGGATGAGTCAGAAACAACACAGAAGGTGCTGTGTCCCACTGATCGGCTAGCCTACTGCAATCAACTCGCACATTTAACTCATTGGTATACCCTAGCATTTTGCTCTTGAGAAATACTCTTTCTGCAATCAAGTGTAGAGAAACGATTTAAACTATTGGTTATCAACCCATGAAGGTAGAAATGCCGCTTCCAGACTCTTGTGAAACCAGCCTCTACCAAACGGGACGAGCCAGGGTGGAAGACAATTTTATATCTCTATTTTTAGTTTTGACTTATTGCCATCTGGAAACTCCAGCTGACCTGGGAAGCATTTGGTCCTTGTTCAGACACACCCTTCAGCGATGGCCTTCAGAAATGAGAGCTTTGGACTCTGCAGTGAGTGACAGACAGGAGGGGGTGAGCTATCAGCGTCCCCACCCCTGTATGAAAAGGAAAATTCACAAAACAGTGCTAAAACAGGAATTCTGATTAGTCCATTAGAGAGGCAAAGGCAAGACAGAGTTTAGCTTCATATCATGCATCTTGTCATTTTTTTTTTATTGCTTTTGTTACTGACAATAACCTTCCAGTTGTTTGCTTCTCCAACCCTAAAGGCAGATCAGTATCCTCTGAGATATGACAATCCTTTCTAATTCCACCAAAAACCCCTAGACTCTAAAAACCCGAACCTAGAGAAGCTCTGGCACTCTGTAGCACAGTCAATTCCAGACACAGTCCTCATTATCACCCAGGGCTTTGCCAAGCTCCTTACCTGAGACACAAAGGGAAGCATGAAGCCAGGGAAAACAAATCATGGCCTTACTGTGGAATGGATGGAAAGGTAATGTTGAAAGACTTTAGGAATAATAAACAAGACATTTCAAATAAGCAACAGTTCATCTTGAGACCTGTAATGGGATTTTCTAAATTGCCTTAGCTTTTCTAATTTCTAGAAAGTAAACCGTTTCTTCCTTGCCACACTAAAAGAGACAGATGCATTTATCAGAAGAGAAATAAAATAGTGATTCAACGGTAGAGAAACGTTAACCAATATTTTTTTCCCCTCTGGATGTAGAGGGCAAAGGACATCATTTCAAGATTAAAACAAAAGCAAATGTAATTTTAAATGATCAAAAGTAATATATTTACATCAGTATTTTTTTCCAAAAATTTCAGTCTTTGCTGATCCACATTAATAGATATATTATACATTTTAAGGGAGAGAAATAGGACAAACAAAAAGTTAAGGCTCACTATCCCTTCCACTAGGAGTGCTCAAGTCATGCCTAAACTGAAGCCAACCGTATTTGCCTCAGGAAATAGTTCAGGATAAAATGGATTATAGAAGCCCATCTACTTTTTAGGTAGCTCCCATCCCACATTACCAAAAATCACATCATGTTTCTAGGTTAAGTATGGCTAAGAAAACATACTGTCAATCCTACAAAAGAGAAGAAAGGTCAGAAGAAAGCATCACATACTCTGAGAACCAAGCATGTGAATTAAGGAAGAGTTAACATTGTCATTGCTGTCTTAACCAAATGCTAATCATGTCCTCTAGAGCCTTTGTCCTTTGTTTCTCACCACAGCCAGAACTCAGAGGTTTCTGAGCTCTCTCTCTCTCGCCATTTGCCTACCCTAGGTCCATTTTTCCTTCCTTCCTTAATAAATGAAACTCTGGTGTTCTGTCCAGGTGAAAAACTACATTTCCCATCATCCCTTGCAAAAATAAGTGGCTAATGAGATATAAAGAGAAATGGCTGGGTGGAGCTTACAGGAATACCCTATTGTCTGACTTTCTTTCCTGCTGGTTGCAAGACCTGGCTGACTAAGCAACAAAAACCTCTGGAGGGAAAAACCAAAAGACTGTTAATGGCATAAGAAAAACTGACTCTCATCAATTTAAACCACTATGCTAGGTCTTTTTATTAGCAAATGATGCCAACCCCTAAGTGCCTTTGCTCAGGATCAAAGTCTAAAAAAACACAAACGCTCCTGACCAGGATCACTGCCCTAGAAAGGGGGAATAGTTAGAAATGTGGAGAGATGGCATTACAGAGGCTCTTTTGGGACCATTGTGCTGTGGGAATGAGAGGGAATGTCCCTTTAGAAAAGCCAGTGTTCAATTGACTGTAAAAGATAGCCCAAGGCTGAAGGGCTGTTATAAGGAATTAGTTCAAGAACTGCTTTTTAATTCTTTGTCAAAAATGTTTTGCAGATGCAAAACCATGAATACAAAGTCTTGGACAAATTTAAAGCTGAAAAAAATCAACCACAAATATATCAACTACTGATTTAAGTTATTTTGTGGATGGAAAGGTGGATTGGAACTCATTTTATTGTACTTACAAACTGCTTGGCACTAGTTGTGTCAAAATGGTTGCTCACATGTGAGAAACAAATAGTTCACTTATTAATTATTAATTTATTAATAACCTGGGGTTATTTACAACATGAAAAGTGGCCCAGGCTCAAAGGGATATTAAAATGAACTGAAATGAAATGTAAAAGCATTACATTTCATTATACATTTTGTTTTAAAAATTGTGGTAAAATATACATAGCACAAAACGTTCCATTTTAACTATTTTTAAATACATTAAGTACATTCAAATTGTTCTCCAACAATTAGCACCATCCAGCTCCAAAATGAAGCTCTGTGCCCACTAAACACTAACTCCCCATTTCCTCCTCCCCTCAGCCTCTGGCAAACCGCATTCTACTTTCTGTCTCTGTATAAGTGACATCACACAATATTTGTCCTGTGTGGAACTGGCTTATTTCTCTTAGCACAATGTCTTTGAGGTTCATCCATATGGCAGCATGTGTCAGCGTTTATTTCCTTCTTAAGGCTGAATAATACTCCTTTGTACGAAGAATCTAAATTTTGTTTATCTAGTCATCCTTCAATAGACACTTGGGTCACTTCCACCTTTGACTATTGTGAATAATGCTGCTATTTGTTTTCTTTCTTTTTAGATATATATATATTTTTTTATCAAGTCAAGGCATGGTTATTTTATGAGAAAGAATGTTTGTCAGAGTCTGAAATTATGGAAGAAAAGCTGCATTTAGATGCAAAGCAAGTCTGAGGGCTTGATTTTGAATTGTAGATTTCATGGAGTAAAATTCTGGAGAGGATGGAGCAGGAAATGGTTGAGAAAGACATAAAAAGAGGTCCTGAGGAGAAATTCCTGCAAAAGATAACCTAGTCTCTAAATGGAGAAGGCATCTAACACTTGTTCTTTTAAAGTATCCAAAGTAATCTAAAATAGCCCAAGTTCATTGATCTGTGTGTACCAGAGGTTTGATCTAAACCAATGATGGCGTGTCACCTCTGACACGCGAACTCATTTTTTTGGTTGATTTTTCTTTGTTAAATGGCATTTAAATATATAAAATAAATATCAAAAATATAAATCTTTGTTTTACTATGGTTGCAAATATCAAAAAATGTCTATATGTGACACAGCACCAGAGTTAAGTTAGGGTTTTTCAAAATGCTGACACGCCGAGCTCAAAAGGTTCGCCATCACTGATCTAAACACCAAGTTTAAGGAAGAGCACTGTAGGTTCCCAAAGTGGAAGTGTAAAACAAAGATATATAAAAAGCATTAGGGATGCTAAAAGTTCCTTCAACCAATAATCTTTAGTGAAAGAACTGGACAGCAGTTAGATTGTGGTTTGTGTCACTCCAAGGTTCCTGATCATAGCCACTTGCACAAAAATACAGCACTTCCTAAAGCATATTCCCGTTTACCTATCTTTCAATAAATACCTCTCGAATCCAAATACCAGAGGGATAAAAAAGCCATACACTCCATGCATCTCTTTTCTGAGAAATCTAGGTTGTCTAACTGCTCAAAAATGCCTTAACAATAAGAATAATGATTCCCTTTAGCAATATTAAAAACACATAAGCAAAACCTCCCAACTTATTTTATGAAACAAATAACTCGAAGGCACTGTTTTACAGCCTGGGAAAATGCAGCACGTATTTTATAACGCTGACAAATCAGAACTCTCTTGCACTCATGTTTCTCATCTGGCTCATGAGTACCTGAACTTCATGTCCTTCCCAGGCTCCAGGATGTCCTGGATTTTCAAGGAAAATCAACTGACAAGTAAATATTTATTGAGCATCTACGAGATGAGGTAACTAAATAGCTGAAGGCACAGATTCCCTAGGAGCATATAGTTCTGTGGAAGGGGAAGTGGAGGTAGAGATGGATGGGCACTGCCCGCCAGTGTCCTCATGCCGTCGAGTTACAGGTACCTTTGCAGCCGCATGAGGTGAGGCTCCTTGGTCCAAAAGTAGAAGGGCCACCTTCTGGTTATCGTAATGTGCAGCTACATGCAGTGGAGTTAGCCCGCTCTGAAAACACGTGCAGAAACAACCAGTGTCAACAGTGTCTTAACATCCGAGGCCTAGAGTTAGGAGACGGGATTAGATCGGGTACAACATGGAGTGCAGTTTACACTGCAGCTGCCACAACACTTGGACCCCAGCATTCACCTATGTCCAGTGTTCCTTGTCCTATGAGACTTAACTAGGGTTATCATTTACTAGTAGGTGGCTGGTGGTGAATAACAGCAAGTGCGTGTTTTGTTATCATGGAAGTGGCCTGTTATACAGGGTGGCTGGTGACCCCCTACCTTCCCAGCGGCATCAGGAGATGCACTCTTCTGCAGCAGGAGGTTGGCTACTTCAAGCTTCCCGTATTTTGCTGCCACATGAAGGGGAGTGAATCCTTTCTGAAAAATGAAACATAAAAATAATGAACAATAGAAATGACCCAAGGGCATCTCTCTTCTGGAACTGATGAATTATTCTAAGGAGGAGCAGGTAAGGCTGCACCTAAGAGGCAAGACTGGTAGGTGACAGTTAGAGAGTCCCCTCACCAACAAGGAAGAGCATCTTATTTCACTTCTCTGTGCGCTGACTGAGCCACAGCAGGCCACTGACGCTGGGACTAAGTGGCCCTCAGACCAGGATGAGGTTGGAGAGCTGGATCTGGGGCTTATTCTAGGGCCATTTTGGGATTTCATGTTGTAGGAAGAATAGGTTCCAGAGTCCCAGGTGCAATTTGGATTTAGTGGGCTTGGGAACATCCAGGGCAAATCTGGTCCTCCCATAATTTCAGACTGGAGCCTTTCTCTTCCCATTTTGCCTTTCCACGTGTATGCACATATCTTTATGTTTGTTCCAGTCTTCAGGAGTAGGAGCCAGAGGTCCTCACACACAGGTGAACTGAACTGAATAAGAACACCAGGTGCTAGTCCAATAAACGTGTAGAGTTGGACACTGAGGTTGAGTACTAATCTCCCTTGATCTCAACTCCTACAAGGATCTGGGTATCTAGCAGTTCTCCCTTTAGGGAGGGACCCAAACATGAGACAGGGACTGCAGGGTCATCAACACATTTGACCTCATGAGATTATAGCCAACTAGAGCCAGTGGGCAGCTGGCTTGGTGAATGGGCTGGGGCACTCAAAACCCCAATGTTTTACACATTGAATGAGATCCAGGAACTTACATCTCAACTTTCCCGAAGTGCCTAAAGAATCACAGGAGGTGAAGTTTAAGGTCGTCATCATTTTTTTTTCCAGATAGTTTACTACCAAGTATTTATAATTATTGTAATTATCTTGCTTATTGGTTACACATTAATGCTTCTTCTCTGCACCCAAATAAGATAGGGCAACACCATTTCCAGCTATCTTCCTACCACACCTACAAGGTTTAAAAAGTAACTTTAAAAAAACGACCTCTAAATTTTGCATCTGCAGAGCAAGTGTGTGGAACACTACCATTCTAAGGTATCAGAGTCAAGATTTTAAAAAAATCAGAGCATAAGTCAAACAACACAATAGTAACAAAAGGAATGACAATAACAAACAAAAATTATCCCTCCCCCCCAAAAAAATTTCTCCTCCTGATTTGAAAGTATTATAAAAATATCAATCAACTGAGCTTCGATAATGTGGTTTATATACATGGTCCCAGCTAGAGAAATCTCTGGCTGTGTTTTTAAAACCAACAGTTAAATCTATCAAATAACATTCAAGAAATATCTGACTCTAGATATCAGTACGTTTTCATTAGAAGATAATGTACTGAGAAACTTAAGCCAGACACACAGGCACACACAAACTTACACATACCCTAACTACCCTCCCCCAGTCCAGGGCTTTGCTGGCTGTGTTGGGACTACCCTGGGATCCCAAGTGTAGGTGATGATATACAACCGCCGTACCTGTTGCCGGGAACAGGTACTAAGGAATTTTGAGGAGGATGTATTTTGGAGAACACAGCAGAAATTGTAAGGACACATTGGGGATTACAAGGAGGATGTATTTGGAGGGACAGAGTAGGATTCCAAGACTTGTTTTCATACCTTTGTTGTAATAGACAAAGATGCGCCATGATCCAAAAGGAATGAGGCCACGTCCTCATGCCCTTCTCGGGCTGCAAGGTGGAGGGCGGTGTACCCAGAAGTTGTGGCTGCATTTGGAGACGCTCCTTGCTGCAACAGCTGCTGGACTATATCCGCCTTCCCCAGTCGGGCTGAGATATGCAGTGGGGTTTGGTCATCCTAAATGGCAAGGAGGAAATGCAAGGCCGATTAGCTGAGAAAACAATGGGACCCTTGAGAAACATTTAGCAAATTGCCTGGTATCAGAAACTAAAGTCCAACTCTTACTCAATAATAAAGAGAATCTCATTTATTTTTTCTTCAAGGTTCAGAAGGGTGGAGATGCTAAACCTAAGCTTAAAGACATTTCTACCAAACTATTAGTATGAAAGTATAGAAGACATTTCTATCTATAAATTATTTCCACTACCACCTGCCATACTTTATCCGTTTTTAATATCTAATGGCTCCTTTTTTGGGAGATAAGGAAATAATTCCTGGTAAACCTCAAATACCTAGGAGGGAATATTAAACTTCCATCAGTTATAACGCAATCATATGGGATAAAATTTATTGGTGGTGTCTTCCCATCACTAAGAGTTGAGGGGGAGGGGGCAGTACAGGGCTGTACAGGTACACCAGCAAAACAGCTCCCAGCCAACAGGGCCAATGGGGGCTGAAAGCCAGCCTACCCTCTATTTGCCAAGTTGTACATCCTGGCATAGGCTGCATCTGCCTCGAGTGGAGGGGCACCTTATACAATTCACCCAAATGAATGAGGCCCTCACTAAGTCCCGTCCCTCAGGTCCCTATGCCCAAGTGAGAGAGGCATCTATTCCTCATTTTCTTTCCTCCAGAAAGAAATCCCCTGCTTGCATGTGGAAAAGTTCAGGTAAATGCTTTATGTAGGGAAGGTGGAGAGAAGAGGGTGCAGCACAGGATACTGCTTTGGAAAGGCAGTAAGATGAGAGTCAAGGTCAAAGCAAGGTCAAACCTTCCTACTATGTTACTAGCAGGAAGCATTAGGGGAGATGCTATGAGGAAGAAGAGGAATACTGAAAACAGAAAGAGAGAGTTGCCAAAGGAAAATTTCATAAAACTCTACAACTGCCACCACCACCACTAAACATGTCCTGGGCCCTACCTGCCCCAGGCTGTAAGTACTGCCCCTACCGTACCTTTTTAATCATCACAACCGTCCTATGAATTGCAAGATCACTACTCTCCTTTGCTATGTGAGGAAATGAGAAAAGGAAACCTGGCACAGAATCCTTAACCTACCCCATGTTACACAGCCAGTAACTGGTAGACCAAGGTCCAAACACAGGCAGTGTGGCTGAGGAAGTCAAGCTCCTAGCCATGATACATGCTGCCTCCTTAACAAATTGATAACCAAAAATCCTCAATTTCAGTTGATGGGTAGAACCACTCCTTTGACACAATGCTTGATATCGAATAATAACACCCATAAGTGTGAGTTTTTCTATCATTCAAGGTGCAGTATAAGTTCTCTTAACTCTTCCACTTCACTGATTAAGTAGATTCACCAATATCCTCCAGACCAGTGGTTCTCAACCTTGGCTGCACATTAGAATCACCTGGGAATCTTTTTAAAATCCTGATTTCTGGGCCTCATCCTCCGGAAATTCTCTTTCTTTCTTATGGGGTGGGGCCACAACATTAGTAACAAAGAAACAAGAATTTCTGGAGGATGAGGCCCAAAAATCAGGATTTTAAAAAGATTCCCAGGTGATTCTAATGTGCAGCCAAGGTTGAGAGCCACTGCTCTAGATCAAGGGTCAGAAAACTACAATCCAGCTGCCACCTGTTTGTCAATAAAGTTTTATTGGGACCCAGACATGCCCATTTGCTTATGTACTGTCTGCGGCTGCTTTTGCTCCAATGGCAGAGTTGAGCTGCTGTGATAGTAATGCTGCACTCCTCAAAGCCTAGAATATTAGATCCTTACAGATAAAGTTCGCTGACCTTTGTCTCTAGATCCTCTACAACATCCACTAACCGGTGCCACAGAACACTGGACACTTGAGGTTTACAGTCTGCTGCTTAGAATGCCACAACCTTCGCCTCCACCTGCAGACTTCATGCTTACCCAGATCTAGTTCGGTTTATTCTCACAGTAGTATGTTTGCACTAATTATTCTCCTAATTTGTACTACATGTGCACTAATTACTTTAATTATACAATAAATATGTTCACAGGTAAAAAATGAGCATGACAGGAAAGGCTGTATTTCCCCCAAAGAATACTGAGTTGAAAGCTTTGGAAAGCCTAGATAGATGTTGATAAAAAGCAATTATGATTTAATTAGATATGGGTGAGACAGCTGAACACACCGAGAGAAAATTACCAACGGTTATAAATATTCTGCATTCCCACTGCTTCACGGATATCTATTTCCTCTCCACCCCAAACTAGGAACTACAGATCACAGAAATAAATAGCAAATAAATACACATGCATGTATTGTATGTTGACAGGAAATGATTAAGGTATTGATGGGTTTACTGACAATTCCTGACCTGAACTGCCATTTTGAAGAGCCAGACCAACTATACATCCTGAATAGTGACAGGAAAGTGGGTTTCCTCTGGGGGCCGGACACCAGGCCAGGACGAAGCATTCAAATTTAACCCTGGAGTTCCTTTTTTCATGCAAAGGCAGAACCCTGAAGCAACTCTGACCTTCGTCCCAGGGTTTATGGTTTCACAACTTGTAGAGAAAAAGTTAAAACTTCCTTTTTCCTTTGTGGCTGTGACAGCTGGCCTGCGAGTCAATCAAATGAGCTCAGTGATGCTTCCAAACTGTGCTTATCCTCGAAGCCTGTGCATAAGCCCCTCTCTACAGAGTGTGAAGAACTCTGGACCTTGTCTCGGTTTGTTTCTTAATCTGTTCAGGACCATCCATGTGCCAAGGACACGAAGTTCCTTCTGGCACCCTGTGCCTGTTCTATTTAATCCCGTTAAATAACTGAATGGACAACTGCACAGGGAAGGGATGTTTTTACAATGTCACTTGGGTAGAGATGTTTTCCGGTGGAGGTTGCTCACTACGTTACAGAAGTATTCTTGGAAGACGGCATGCATCCATTTAAAGGGTTTATTGAAATCCATACTTTCCCCATCAATAGCAAATGCTTCCAGGAATCGCACTGACCTTTGCTTTAGCTTCTACCTGAGCTCCGTCTTGCACCAGATGCCGCACGACTGCGGCCTGGCCGGACCGAGCTGCCATGTGCAGCGCCGTTTCTCCTCTCTGGGGAAGAAGAGTCGGAACAAAGTTACTGCAGCTCCGCAGAAGAGCGGCCTGCTTCACCTGCATGAAGCTTATGATGTCGGCTTCATATTTTATAGATAAAAAGTCCCAAACACTTCCTTAGTGAAGGCTAGGAGAGACAGGAGATGAAAGGCCCAAGAATTTCAGAGGAACCTGATCCAGGAAGGAAGGACTTTGGTATAAGCCGAGGGGCCTAGTTATCGACAGTGTCAGAAGTGCTGTCCAGGAACCCTCAAGTGGCCTCCTTGAGGGTGGAAAGGTGAATGCTCATAGGGGGAGAGGAGGGTACATGAGTGGAGAGGGCAGGTGGGGAGAGCTCAGGAGAAGAGCCGGGGGCCTGCCCGAAGGTGGCAGCCACTACGTGAGGTGTGCAGGCAGCTGTGGGGCTGTGCAGGGAGCCACGCCTTCCTATTCAAAAGGAGGGGCAGCCTGGCTATTTGTGTGCACTTCCACGTTGGCCACAAAACCAGACTGGAAAACAAAACAGAAACCAAAGTGCTGCATGGGCAACACAGACGCACAGGAGGGCCCGAATGGGCTTGCTGGCTGCCGGTGTGCATTCTCCGCTTCACCTCATCAGATCAGCCTCCTGGCCTTCGGGCATTAACCCAAGGGGTCAGTTTCTTTGCCACTAAGAACCCTCCATTTCATTACGGAGAATTTAATTCGGATTATTCATTTATGTAACAACAAAAAATGAAAATAGTATAGAAGACATAGATAGAGAGAAACAAAGTAATAATAAAATATATTATCTCCTATAAGTGATATATAACAAAGACATATTTCACATGAAACTTGCTAATGTGTTTATTGGAAAGATCTTGAGGATGTAAGTTACCATATAATTCAGGATATGGTAAAACCTCCCCATGGTGTTAGTGCCAGGAAAGCCTGTATTTCACTGAGAAGCTGGTCTGTTTCGGTGCTGATTCTGGTTGCTAGTAGAGACCCTTGTTGGTGGCACACCGTCAGGGTGGGTGTACAGGAAACTTCTGGCTTGCTGTTTCTGACCAGAACGTTGCTGGTTTTATTTTTACTCCTTTGGCACTCATGGGTCCAACTACCATTTTTATGCTTGTGGTCTGGTGTGTTCATACTACTGTGATGTCAATTAATTTACTTATAACAACAACAACAAAAAAATAGGTAAGAGCAAACTTTGCCAGTTTAGTAAATACTCACAACTGGCCGTTCTCTGTGAAAAGGATACTTACCACGTTGGTGGTATTTGGGGAGGCTCCATGATGCATTAGCTGTGATACGATATTTACATGCCCCATGAAGGCAGCAACATGGATTGGGGTAAGGCCCGACTGGGGATAGAAGAGGGAAATGTTGGTTTGTAGTCTTATCATAAAAAGGGTTTCTCTGCCTGCCTGCCCAACCGCCGCCTACCATCCACCCATTCACCCATTCACCCACCCACCCATCCACCCACCCATCCACCCACTGAGCCAAACGGGCTGGGCTAGACCTTCATTTTTAAGTTTGCTTCAAAGCCGACATACAACACAACTCATAACACTTCTGCTTTTTACATGAAATGATTACATTTTTAATTTTTCAGAATATAATTCCACTTACAACATGAACATCCTAATTTGGTAAAAATACTTAAAATGGCTAGAAAAAGCTGACTCTTTTAAGGAGAGAGAAGGAGATAGCAAATGTCCATAGAAATTTGAATAATATAAAAAAAAAGGTAAAAGAAATTCTCTAGGGTAAAAGGTAGGTAAAAGAAAGAAGGCGAAGAATTCTGGTTGCACCGATTTCAACTAGTGGGAACTGAGGAAAAACGGGAAAAGACTTGTTATAACATGGAGCCCTTTTTCCGTCAGCAGGGGGAGTCGTCAAAGTGTGTGCAAGGTGAAGCCCTCATGCGGGTCTGGGTTGGTGGTCAGAGCTCATGGGGAGCGCAGGGCTGGCACTGGGACCGTCTCCTCACCAGCTGGCATCTCTGGGCATTTATTCCAACATCAGTCAAGACTCCACTTCTACTCCAGAGTACATTCTAATCTTTAAAAGGGGTTTCCACGCACTGAGAATAAGCTTACTACTTTATGATTGTAAAACAGGGTGTCTACCATGAAGCCATGAGACTGATAAAAGTGTAAATCAGTATTAATATTTTCGGCCATGTGATTTTTAAAACATTTTGAGTGTCACAAATCCAGACAGGATGTGCTAGTAAAATGTTGACTCTTATTTCAAATCCTCTCTGGTCTTCAAGGACTCCCACGCACTCCGCATACATTCCTTATATTACACGTGGAAGATCATGGAGCCTAACACAAAGCCATTCTGCCAAAATGAGCAAATCGACATTAACAGTCTCAGTTATTTGATTTTTAACTATATGAATATTACACATTGAGGTGATATAATTAAGGCAAATGCTATAATGGCCACTAGATTAGATCAGAGAATGAGGTAATGTGAGAATCACTGGACTAGATCTCAGCTTTTATGTTGGCCTCAAATCTCGTCGTCTTTATGATACAATCAACAAGCCTTTCTGAATGATCTCCTATGGGCCAGGCCTTGTGGGCATAGAAACACCAGCAAGACTCACGGCTGCCCAGAAGGAGCCTGGAGGTTCTAGGGGGCAGGGGGCTGGCTGGGTCATAAGTAAGCGGCTGAGTCAGTGCTTTGGTGGAAGTACACACAGCAGTAGTGTGATCCTGGGGAGAGGTCCAGGATCAGGTCAGGGGGTGAGGGGAGGTTTCCCGGAGAAGGTGGCCTAGATCTGGTCCTGGAGGATGTGCGGGATTAGCCTGGGGAAGTGGGTGTGTGACACACGGAGGGAGCAGAGAGGTATGAACGAAAGGGTGTCCAGTCTAGGGCAGTGTTGAGGGGTAGAATCCACAGAGACCTCGTGTTAGGATGGGGTGGGGACTGGGAGGAGTCTGGAGAGTAGAGGCCAGGCCGGCCCGGCTGTGTTGAAGGCTTAGCCCTTATCCTGATGGGCCTTTTTTTCTGAGTTCTGTGTTGGTTTGTACAAAAGAAATCTAGAGCTAGTCCTTCACTCTGTTGCATTAACTCTGAGTTTTTACAGAGAGTAATCCACACTTTTCAAACACACAGAGGCTGTATTATGCAGGGTTTCTCAGCTCATTGGCACATTGGCATTTTGAGCCAGATAATTCCTTTCAGTGGGAGTCGGGCCTGTACATTGTCAACTGTTTAGTAGCATCTCTGGCCTCGTCCACTAGATGCCAGTAGCACCATTTAGCTGTGACACTAAAAACAAACTGCAGACATTGCAAATGTCCCTTGGGGGCAAAAGCGCCCCCCTTTGAGAAGCACTGCATTATAGGATTTCATATAAATGATGCTTTCAGGGACGGAGTCCTACCCCAGGAGCGCGAAGCCTGTTTGGGGTTGTGCTTCTAGTCACTGTGACGAACCTGCACTGACCCACCCGCGCTCATGTCTGCTCTCCTCGGGACTCGCAGCCCCTTGGGTGAAAGGCTCAGAGAGTAGACTGTGGCAATCACACGGAGCAAAACTCGCTGGTCGTCGGGGCTGACACTGGGACTCCGGCTGCTATCCTTTCAGTACCGGGGGACCCAGCAGTCCTAGTCCTCTCACCTCGGTTACAGCTTGGATGGATGCACCGTGTTTCAGAAGGAGTTCCATGACTTTAATCCGATTCTTCTTGCAGGCGATGTGAAGAGGGGTAAAGCCATTCTGCAAGGGACAACGACACACATATCCACTTGACTACATCCCATTGAAATCCCATTCCACTGAGTGTGGTACAACATTTTTGCTACCGTGTGTTTCTGGAAAGATTTGGAAAAGAGCAGTAACGACATGGCGCTAGGCAGAACGCAGATCCTTTTCTGGAAGCACAGTAGCCTAGCTGGTCCTAGGAGCCCAAGGTGCTCTGGTCATTGTGAAATTTTTTTTGGTCACCATCCCTGGGAGCTAAGGCAGAATGGTCACTCTATTCCTTTAGATGACTTCATTTTGGAATTCACTCTTTCAAATACTATGTCCCTCCTCTCCCTCATTTCAAACACAGACTAAAAACAGCTGGCCCTGACACCTGTCCTCAAAGCCCAAAGGTCACCAATGCCTATTCTGACTTCTCTGCTACATGGGAAGGCAACTACAAGGCCAGGTCTAGAAGGTGTTCATTCCTTCCAGCTTTAAGATCCAAGTAGGTGCTTAATTCAAGGAAGCAGAAAGTTCCCCAACCCAACATTATTTGGATCGTTTGGTTTAATATTTAATCTGATAAAAGGACCTGCTTATTTAAAACAAATCACCTACCAAATCCTACTGCCTCATCCTCGAGACCAGGAGCGTCTTTTGGTTGCCACAGAGAACTATCTAACGTTCCGGGGTCCACTCTAAAAGCGTGGGTCAAAGTCACAGCAGGTGCTTCCCTTTACCTGGCCAGAGTCCACGCCAGGACGACTGGCTCCAGCCTTTACGTGTTGCGAAATCTTTCGAGTCAGAGGAAAATGACAGTGAGAGGCCACACCCTGTTTTAAGGCTTTTTTTTCTTGTATGGAAAATGAGTCATGACTGCTAATTTATTTTCCTCCCTTCCCAGAATTTAAAGATATGTTTGATACACGGGGCAGGTCAACAGCTCTCGACATGCTGCTCTGAGAAAAGCACTTAGAACGACTATGGTCACGCAGCTGCCTGGCGTCTGGAGAGCTCCCCTCTCCTCATTCTTTGCTGCCCACCCCGGATTTCAGAGCCAGACAGCAGATCCATTCAGCCAGGGTGACCACAGCTGGAAAGGAGCAGGGACCCTCCCTACCAGGGCTGACTGGATGGCAGCCTTCAGCTCAAAGTTATGAATTCACTCACAGGCTCTCCGGAGCATTTGGTGAGTTAGTTTTTCCTAAATGTGGGTGCTTCTTCTGAACTAAATTTAAACAGCCGACTAAATTGGGACCATTTATTTTCCTAAGACAACAAACACCATCCTGCTGAGAAAACCAAATTACCATACAGAGCTAAGGGTTAAAATAGCAAATCATTTTAGGAGTTAAGACTACAGGCTAGACCAACATTGAGATTTGTGTAGACGACAGGCCATACTTCATTAACTCACATGGTTAACATAGCATTTTAGCTCATGAATTCGTAGACTTCTCATGTTTAAGATAATGTGTTTTTCTTTTTTCTCATTTTGCCTCAGAAAACACTTTTAATTCATTGGATTATAAAGTTTCCTACAGTAAGATAAGGTTGACCACCTCAGGAATTTTATACTTGCATGGTCTTTGGGTTTCATTTGCATGAGAGAATCACTAGTGTGACTCTAATGGGTGTTAATGACCAAACCCCACAAGCCTTGTTGGTGTCAGAACTAGAAGGTTTTGTAGATTCCCCAGAAGGAGACTTGAAAAAGTTGAGGAGACATGCACTTAGTTTGATTAGACCTTCCATTTTTACCTCCTCAAAAGCAATCCCTTCGCATACAGAGGTAGCATGTCCTCGGCCGGACAACATCTGGACCTTTTGGCCAAGCCACTCACCAGGGCTTTGGCATTGGGGTTAGCTTTCTTGTCCAAGAGAACCTTGGCGACTTTGTAATGGCCACAGTGGGCGGCCACGTGCAGGGCGGTCAGGTAGTCGTTGGTGACGTCGTCCACAGGCACGTTATGCTGGAGGAGAAGCTGGACACAGTTCAAGTGATCCCCTTGCGTGGCCATGTGCAGTGGGGACAGTCCATTCTGGAACACACAAGAGAATCAGAGTTTATCATGTTGCCTTTTAATAAAAAATGTGCCAGACACAAAATACAGCACAGATATGAACAGATTAAAAACTCTAGTTTTTCATACAGAAATACCTTCTATTGTTTAAAAGGTTTTGACAACAGTTTTGAACTTTTAAAACTAGTCCTCTGAATTCTTCTATCAATAGAAATCAACACATTTTCAAAGATAATTTCTTTTTCTGATTTTAAAAGTATGAGTTGCACTAAAATCCATTATTTATTGCATTCCCAGTGAATTGGAATTCTTAATTTTTCAGACTGAAAAAGATGAAACAAAAGCAGGAACAGGCTGGTGTCTAGTAGGCTTTCCTTTTGTCCTTACGAATTGCTAATACTTGGTATTGAATACTATATTGATTCAGTGAATAAAAAGGCCTGCTTGCAAGAACACATTTCATCTCACGTCAATGTAGAAAGGCACATTTTTTTTTCATTTCCCATTAATCTGGCACCCCCATGTGTCTATAATGAGGAAAGGCAAGGCAGTGACCAAGCCGTTAACTGAAGCTTGCCGCAGTTAGTTTAAATCAATGGGGTTCAATGACACAGTTAATTATGCGCAATAGGAACGAGTCAGAAATGCACGTGAAGAGCTGAGAGAAGACATGAATGGGTTCACAGGTAAATAAAACCTTAAAAGATTAGATTGGCACTCAGTATTCAGTGAGTTTCCTAATGAAGACAAAAAACAAGGTATTATGTCATTCTGGAACTAACATAATATTGGACGTCAGCTGTAAGTTAAAAATAAAACAATTAAAAAGTTGTCAGTCTTTTCAAACATGCTTCCTTTAAATGTGTAGGCAAATTGGAGGAGCCTGGGAAATTCCTAGAGAATCCAGTCATCAAGAAAGGCCCTGTTAATTAATGTAACATAATTTAACATATTTTAGGGGGGGCGGGAAGTGACAGTAAACTCAGTTTCCAAAAAAGTGGTCATCAGTAAACTTTGAAAATAATGGCATGGTAAGTATGCACTGATGAACCAAGTATTACTGAATCCTCTAGGACAGTGGTCGGCAAACTGCGGCTCACGAGCCACATGCGGCTCTTTGGCACCTTGCGTGTGGCTCTTCCACAAAATACCGACTTTGCGACTTTGCGCAAGGGCCACGAAGTTTCAATCGCACTGTACATGTGCGCCTGCACGTGGTATTTTGTGGAAGAGCCACATTCAAGGGGCCAAAGAGCCGCATGTGGCTTGCGAGCCGCAGTTTGCCGACCACTGCTCTAGGACAAGTTATTTCCCCTAATTTATTGACGAATAACATAAAACGGAAGTTCAAGGTAAGAAAAAAATTCAAGCCTTCCTCTGGCCACTCTCCTGGCATCATTCACTCACTGACATATATATCAACTTCCTTGAAAGCAAGAGGTCCATGGGTTATAATTTCCCCATACTGGCCAGCAGAGAGCCTTGCACGTATAGAAAGAGCTCCATAAATATTTATGTAAATTTAAATATTTATGTAAATACAATGTCAGTCAGGCAGGATACTTCTATCTAAAAAATTCCCTGCAAACATTTTGAACCAAAGTAGAAACTAAGGTGCAGAAAAGGATGGGGACAGTTCTCATTTGCGATACTGCCATCCCCACCCGAGCACATGCACTCTTTCATTTCCTGTCAAAACATTCCTTTGCTTTAGGTTTTGATAGAGTCTTTGAGGAACACATGCAATAAACAAAATAACAAAATCTGAGAGAACTAGTGACTTAGGGAGAGCAGAAAAGGAAAGCAACGTCAGTAAACGAGGGCAACTCTCTAAGGATACACAAGCTAATCACACACGAGCGGGTAGCATAGGTCACCGGGGAAAGACGAGAAGAAAGTAAAGGTCATTTGCCTTGTGGAGAGGGGTCTTATTACACATGGCACCTTCGTCAAGCTGAAAATACGGGTCCACTGTGGTGGGTTTTCTTAGCTCAGAAAGATGAGTCTTGAAGAATTAGACAGACGGTCTTACAGTTAGGAATGCATTTATTCACTTCATAGTCATTCAACAAATATTTACCGAAGGGCTGCCATATATGTTAGGCACCTGTTTATGTGCTTGGGGTACCACACTTAATTAATCAAAGTTCTTGCTTTCATTTTAATGGAGAGAGAGAGAGAGAGAGAGAGAGAGAGAGAGAGAGAACAAATAAACCAATGATGAAGAAGAAGGGCGCTGAAAAGAAATTTGAGTTGAAAAACATGTGGAGACTGCAGTGATCTGGGACCGGCTGAGGGAATTCAGTCTAAGAGAACAGGAAATGAGAACAAACTTGGTGTATTTTAGGAAGCGAAATGAAGCTAAGGATAGTTGTCTGGAAGATGGTAGGGAGCCCAGCGAGAGGAGATGAGGCAGAAAAGTGGTCAAGTTCTAGTAAGAATTTATTTTCAGGACACGGGAAGCTTGCAGGTAAATGTGATAAATTAGACATATATGTTTATCCATCTTTTCCCAAATGCTCACGAAAAAGCATTAAAGGAATTTGAAAGGCAAAATCCATAAGGGAATGTACATGTATATGCGCGCACACCCACAAAGCCACATACACACATAGGAAACAAAAATAGATGGGCACTGTCTATACATTTTTGGAATATGAAAAGAGGATGTACTAGTAAGTGTGATAACTTACCCAGCAGAAGAAAGAAGGCTGAAACCTAAGTGTCCATGGAGGGGTATAATCAGCGGTGTGCTGATAAAGGTTTAACAGCAGCTCTTTGGAAAAGAAGGCCCTGATCCATAGTATCTGCCAATCCCATGATGTCAAGACCTCAGCGACCAATTTCAAGCGATAAACATCAAGTTATTGGAGGTGGAGCTGGGACGAGATGTGCATACACAATAGGCTCAATGACCTGGCTCCAGCCTGCCACTGGGTGTAATAAAGACAATGGATTTGCCTCTCTGATGCCCCAAAGGCAGGGGATGTGGATACACAGTACTCTCAAAAGATAGAGATGAGGCTTAATGCTGAGAAAGTAGGACTGGTTCCCCTGTGTACAGAGCTGTCAGGTCTCCAGGCCCTTCCAACCCAGCAAAGCCAGATGCCTGCCCCCATGCAGGAAGCCAGAGGTTTAGTCTCTGGAGAAAGTAAGCCAGAAAGACTCTGGATGCAGAGGCCCAGGCAGAGCAGAGAGCAGTGGTGAGGCTCTGGACTGAGCCCAGGTGCTCACAGTACAGGTGTTGCCCGGTGTCTATAGTCAGCCTGCCTGCTTCCAACTCTTGTTCTGCCACTAGCTGAGGTGTCGTGAGGAAGCTACTTTATTTCTTTGGGTCTCAGTTTTCTAATCTATAAAAAGGGTATAATAGTAATATTAGGATCTTATAGAGCTATTGGGAGGAGATAATATATTATGTAAAGTGCTTAGAAACTGGTATGCAGTAATCACTCTATAAGTATGAGTTATCATTGTTAGGATTTAAGTATGCATACAGGACAGGGACACTGACAGCCCCTTTTCCTACTGTAAACCAACTATTTTCAACTGGTGTACAGCATGAATTTTTAAAACATGTCATACCTGTCCATTTAGCCAGGGGCACTGACCTCTTCCCCCATATATTGTCAAAGAAAGACATGAGAATAGTCAACACAACAACAGCCATCCAGTGTGAATGGATCAAAATTATACCTATTTTTTTTTGTCCGATAGGCAAACAATATATTTTGGGTGTGCCACAGAATTTTAGTAATTCGTGTATGTGTGCCATGAGATGAAAAAATTTGAAAATCGCTGCTGTAAATTACTCACCCAGTGTACATATCAAAGGTTGGAGAATTCAGTCTCTCAAAAAATGGATCTTCCCAGAGAAAAGAACACCTTATCCTGACCTTAGAGGACCCTCCAACCTGCCACGACCTAACGCACATGAAAGAGTGAGCCAAAGCCAACAGAGAGAAAATAAGACAACGGAGGAATTACGGACATATGAGAGGGAGAATTACACTAAAGAGAAGGTACCTTAAATGTCCTCAGAAGGTGACGTAAAATATTATTTCCATAAAACAAGAGCTGAATGCTTTAAGAAAAGAAGCATAGAAGAAAAAATAAGGAGATTTCTCTGAAAAAAAAAAAAAACCCACAAAACCCATCAATAGATAATGAAATGAACAATAGGAGAAGAAAGATGATAGATTTATTTGATAAAATAAAAATTAGTTTTAAAGAGAAAAATGGGAATTACTCAGGTTTTTAGGCACAAGGTTGACATGACTTGGTTGGACAGTTCATATGGCCACTCTGACTGCAAAATGGAAACTGGATTGTAGAGAAGCAAGGAGGGAAATGGGGAACCAGCAATGAAGCTATTACAACGGTTCAGCGAGAGATGCTGTGACTCAGAAGACAGCGGTGGGTGTAAAGATAGACAGATATGGACCATATGCAAGGAAAAGGAACAGGTAGGTAGTTTAGGTGAAAGCACCCAAGAGACCCAGATGTCAGCACTACAATAAGAAATTATGGCTGTTTACTTCTGTAGGATAGTACCTCCAGAGCTTGCCAATCTAAACTCTGCATTTCAAATGAGTGATGGAATTGTTGAGACCACCTCCCCCCTGTCTATCTTCACTAGAGTAGGAAACACTGATTAGGGTGCAAACAGGAGTTACATGTAATTTCTTTGTTTTGGTAATGTTGGGAGATTAAAGCTTTTTATAAAGCTCCATAGAGCTTTCAAAATCATTGATTAATAAAAATACTGGTGACTATGAGGTAGTTCCAAAATTTATTTACAAATATTCCCCTTTTTGAAATACGGTCAAATGGTTTTACCATTAAAAAATCTAGAAGACACTTAGTAAAACATTTTTGTTTCCAGGCAATCCACGTGTATTCTTCTCAGACATGTGAACCTTCCCTGTGGCACCAAGCCAGGTGCCACCTTTCCAAAGTTCCCACTCTATCCGTCAAATGGCATCCTGGCCTCGTTACTAGTCTGTGAACATTCATGAAATAAACCAAGAGGCTGATGAAAGAGAGCCAGCAGCTAGACTTTAGAGAATCTAGACCTTATAGTCTTTCCTTCCCCAACAAGCAATCACAGAGTAGAGTAAGCACTAAGTGCTCCTGATAAAAAGCACACAAAAACAACACACGCAGAAATGGCGTTGTGGTAGAACGTCTTCTTACCAAAGGCTTCGTCAGCCCAAACTGATTTTGAGGTTCTCCAGAGATTTGGTGAACACAGCCACTCTAACTGCTTACATGGAAACGATGGCATTTTCTGCATAACTCAAAAGGCTGTGTGGAATAACCAGGAAAGGGATTCAAAGCTAAGCACAGTCGAATGGCCCGAAACCTAGGAAGAAATTACCTTGGTTTTTGAAAGAATGGGGGCAGCTCGATCGAGCAGCATTTCCACCACCTGCTCATGGCCGCTCCTGGCTCCACAGTGCAGCGGCGTCAGACCGTCCTAGTGAACAAAAGGCAGCGTCTCCAGTTAGATGCGATGGGGACTGTACAAACGCAGACTGTTCCTTCCAGACCCAGTGCAGCATCCAACATGCTGTGGACCAGTGGGCTACCAACCTTTACTCACACTCCTGACACAATAATTTCCTGTGTTACAAGAGCTAAGCTTTTCCCTAGGTTTAAGTGGTCACACAGTGTGTAATTTCCCACATATGAGGATACTAGCTTTTAAAATATAACTGTCCCACTATTCTTGACTATCCAATGGAATCTAAATAGTACATGTAAATTGATATCCGCCACTTAAAAATACACAAATAAACTTTGAAAATAGAAATTTGTAATAGGAATTTTACGTTGGCAATTTTTCCACTTACATTTTTATTTCTATACCAGTTCCCCCACATAATTTTATCTTAATGTAATACAATTTTATGCTTGAGTGTTTTTTATTGATCACCATATCATATTTCCCTGCCACAAAAATATAAATTTAAAAAAGGTTTATAGACCTCCTGAGAACATAAGCTTTAATTATCCAAAAATAAATCTTCTGGTTGAAATGATCATTATAATTATTCAAACACAATTGATCAAAACATCAAAAACACATTACAGATTTTATGATTATTAAACGAGGGTAACAGTTTCTTAAAATGTCCTCTCTTGATGAGACAATTTTTTCACCACTAATTCACAATCTGTCAGTGCATATTACTTATTGCTAAAATAGTTTAGCATCAGTACTATCCCAATTTTTGCTTTTATAAATGTTAGTGCTGAGAAATCTTGTCTGCGTAAATAAGTAAATGAACTTTTGCCACAAATTCTCTGAACTCCTTCTGAATCGCATGCCCAAATCACTTAATAATCTTTCACCAAATATTTTTTAATGATACATCATTAGACAAATGCATTAGGTTCTTCATTTTTGTTTGTAGCGATAGGATTTATAATCACCCAATACACAGAAGAATGTGTTATCCAATCATTATAGTCATGTAGTTCTTAACAGGACACCAATACTTTGAACTCTTCCCTCTGTCCCCCTCACATTCCCTTCTTCACCCTCAAAGGTGTTAGCACTCTGGGTGAGAGTTAGAAAGTTAGAACTTTCTATCATACGAGGAGGGAAATATTGTATTAAAGACTAGGTGTGAAAGGATAATTAGCAGGGAGTTAAAGGAAGTGGAAAGTCATTCACTTAAAATTATCTAAGTGGCCCTAAACCTTATGGAGAATTTTTCACAGCCCAGCTTATATATTCCCCAACTTGAAGATTCCTGTGGTTGACGACACCTACTGCAAGGAAAGTCGCATTTTCTAAAATACATCAAAATGATATTCAATGTATTTAAACCACTTTCGAGATTGTGCGAGCAGTTCTTGAAAGTAAGCCTAATTATCCTAATGTATAATCAATCCTTTTTCTAAACTACTAGCTAAATCTCAGTAGAATTAAAATTCCTTAGATCCTGAAATGTGAATCACAAACAGCACACGGCCTGATATGAACATTCTTTGAGCATGTTTAAATACTCAGCCTTTGTGCTGAGTTAAAACAATTGCTCTTGTACGCCAAAGTAAAGCAGTATAACCATCTTTCAAATGGAAACAGCATTTTCCTAATAAAATAAAATTTGAGAACAAATAAAAAACACCAAGAAGTCCAGATGTCTTCCCAATAATGTAAACCTGAATATATTTGAAGGAGAAATAACAATAATCATATGCAACTTCCAACACACAAAAATATTTCACATTCTCTCAATGTGATTATCTTTTATGAACTTAAAGTTCAAATTTGTTTCTTTCATTTTTCTCATAAGTAGACCCTACGATGTGATAGAGTATGTGCAGACATTTTCAAATTATGATCACACAGAAAAATAACAATTTTAGTCCAACTCATTTATCATTGAAAACAATCTTCCCCAAAGCAAAATACTCCATTTGGCATTCAAAGTATTTGGCAATCTTAGAGCAAAATCTATCCCAACTCCTTAGTCCTTTGACATATACTGTTCCTTACAGACACATTTTGACTGATTTCACCTTTTAAAAACATTTTAATTATGGAAAATTTCAAACATATTTCAGAGTACAGTAGACCGAACAATGTAATGAGCTTTTAGGTGTCTGGTTCTCTGTGTCAACAATCGCTGCCTAATGATCAATTCTGATTTATATCCTGATCTCTTCTTCTTTCTTGTATTACTTTTGAAGCAAACACAAGTCATGGAATCATTTCATCCTCACAATCACCCCTGTATGGAAGGCATAATTTTCATTTTATAAACGAGCACTCTAGTTTTCAAAGAGGTTAAATTATTCACCCAAGCCCTAGCTGGTTCGGCCCAGTGGACAGAACGTCGGCCTTTGGACCAAAGGGTCCCAAGTTCAATTCTGGTCAAGGGCACGTACCCTGGTTGCAGGCTACTCCTCAAGGCTGAAGCCTGGTCAGGGCTCGTGCAGGAGGCAGCCAATCAAAATATATCCTAAGGTGAGGATTAACAACAACAAAAAATCCATCCAAGGTCACACAATTCAGAACTAGGCCCCTGGTGACTGACGGACAGTCCAAGGATGTCTTGGGAAGAGTTTTAAGACAAAGATGCTCCCTCTACTCAAATGTGTAGCTGCTCTTAGCCTTCCTTTACCTACATTCTGAAGCTGCTGCCTTTGATCTTTGGTTTTTACTTATTAAAAACTTACAGGATCTAGAGACTCAGTTAGGAAAAGTGACCTTTTTCATTGGTAAAGGAGCTGTGAAGTGCTATGGTCTTAGCCGTTCTTACTTTTATCACCTTGTTCCCATGATAAATTGGCTAGCTCTCCAAGAGCAGTTCCTAGCTGAACTGCCAAGAGCTACCTGAAGTACAGCTCTTTCAGCTGCAGCTTTAACTGCAGTATTTTTAACAACGACCACAAGTGACTGACGCCTCTGGATCTTGTGCAAATGCCCTCTGGCACTTCTCAAAGGTGCATGGCTCTTCAAATGGCCAGAACCCGGGCAGGAAAGAGGCCTCATCAGGAAGCTGTATGAGATGTCACGATTGCCTGACTCATAGGTAGGGCTGGCCTGGCTGTAGGACCTTCAGGGGTCAGTGGAAAACTGGTATCTAGAGTTCATGTAAGATCTTTAATTAGCATCACTGTTTCCAGAGTCACGAAGATGGAGACACAGTGAGACTGAAAAGTACCTGCCATTTAGTGATTCACACTTAATTCAGTTAAAAAAAAACAAAAGAGGAAAATTAGCAGGCACTGACTTTACTTAATACCTATTTTGGGGCATAATGAATATTTGAATTTCGACTTAATTTTTTACTTTGAAATAGGTGTGGCTTATCATTCACTTTCCTGACGCACTGTTCTGATTATGATTCTGTGTGCTCTAAAGATCTTCAGTGACTATCACTCAGTGCCTCAGCCAAGTCTACATCCCTCAGCTTAGCAACCAGTCTTCTTTTAATATATTTTAATTGATTTTTTACACAGAGGAAGGGACAGGAATAGAGAGTTAGAAACATCGATGGGAGAGAAACATCGATCAGCTGCTTCCTGCACACCCCCCACTGGGGATGTGCCTGCAACCAAGGTACCATTCACTTTCCTGACGCACTGTTCTGATTATGATTCTGTGTGCCCTAAAGATCTTCAGTAACTATCACTCAGTGCCTCAGCCAGGTCTACATCCCTCAGCTTAGCAATCAGTCTTCTTTTAATATATTTTAATTGACTTTTTACAGAGAGGAAGGGACAGGAATAGAGAGTTAGAAACATCGATGAGAGAGAAACATCAATCAGCTGCCTCCTGCACACTCCCTACTGGGTATGTGCCTGCAACCAGGGTACATGCCCTTAGCCGGAATCGAACCTGGGACCCTTGAGTCGGCAGGCCGACATTCTATCCACTGAGTCAAACCGGTCAGGGCAGCAATCAGTCTTCTTAACATCAGCCACTGCTACACTTGGCCTCCCCGTTCCCTTCGCATCGACCCTAATTAAACTCTTTGATGCAGTGCTTAGCAAAAGCTTACCATTTTCCTGTCTTCCTGCTTTGGCCACATGACTTCCTGTACCTGGAAGGTTTCTTTCTACTTTCTCCAAGATCCAAATCCCTACTGTGTTAAAGTACAGTTTCTTTCAATCCTTTCCCAAAATGAGACATGACCCTTCGACCTTCAGGACTTTATCTTATTTTATCTGTCCCACTTTGGGGGAAACGGTAGCTTTTTACCTGGTATTTTAGTTATTTCTGGGCATGCTTCTGAGGACAAGGTGGCTCATTTGAGGGAGATTTAAATCCCAGGAGAAGATATCATGTCATATCATAACTCAGTATCATGTCCATAAAAGCTGCTTCACAAAAGTGACTTGAGTGCATGAATACATGGAGTGAGGGAGTAAGTGAATGTTTGGTCTAATCTTTTAAAATCCTTTTCAGGTTAGTTGGTTAAAAATTCCTTTTCTTGTTATCCTTATTTTTTTTTTTTTAAGACTAGACTCATTTGATACTTCAGAAACACGATTAAAATAACGTCTCTTACCTTCCAGAAAAATAAAATTCTCAATAAATAAGTGACTTGTAAATTGGGATTAGACTAAAGAATATGACTCAGTCTTTTTAGCTGTCAGAATGAAGAGAAAGCCTGGCCAGCATGACTCAGTGGCTGAGTGTCACCTATGAATCAGGAGGTAACGGTTCAATTCCCTGTCAGGGCACATGCCCGGGTTGAGGGCTCGATCCCCAATGTGGGGCTTACAGGAGGCAGCCAATCAATGACTCTCTCTCATCATTGATGTTTCTTTCTAACCCTCTGAAATCAATAAAATTATTTTTAAAAAGGAAATCTTACCTCTAAAAAAAGAATAAAGAAATATCAGAATATTTGCTGTAAATATTTTCCTCTTTTTAATTCAGCTTTTAAAAAAAAGAGCTGCTGTGAATATTGTAGTCCTTTACAACATAGCAGTGAACTGGTTTACTTCTTTCCC